AACGCAGACTTTAGGGTACTTAAGCTCAGTATATCTGGCTAATTTTTTGCATGCTCCTAGGTCAATGGCTTGACCTTTAGGGAAATCTGTCGGTTACACTCAAAGCCCTCGAAGAGGGCTAAAAAGTGACCGCGAGTGAAATTCTCTTTATATGAGCTCTATTACGAAAACAATTTTCCTCCGACGACCCCCCTTGATATTTTGTGAGGTGGTAGAAGAACACCTAGGAGTGTCACAAAAAACTCGGCAATTCTGGGAAAACTTCGGAAAGCGGTCAAAACTGACCAGTTGTATTTCCCTATATAATCTTTGTATTTTATGGGAAAAACAGAGGGTCATTTCAACGCAGACTTTAGGGTACTTAAGCTCAGTATATCTGGCTAATTTTTTGCATGCTCCTAGGTCAATGGCTTGACCTTTAGGGAAAACTGTCGGTTACACTCAAAGCCCTCGACGAGGGCTAAAAAGTGACCGCGAGTGAAATTCTCTTTATATGAGCTCTATTACGAAAAAAAATTTCCTCCGACGACCCCCCTTGATAGTTTGTGAGGTGGTAGAAGAACACCTAGGGGTTTCATAAAAAACTCGGCAATTCTGGGAAAACTTCGTAAAGCGGTCAAAACTGACCAGTTGTATTTCCCTATATAATCTTTGTATTTTATGGGAAAAACAGGGAAATTTTAACACAATTTTTAGGTTACTTAATGTCTGTACATCATGCTAAGTTTTTGCATACACTACTATAGATGACTAGGCCGTATGGAAAAACTGTTGGTCAGACTCAAAGCCCTCGACGAGGGCTAAAAGATGATCTTGAGTGAAATTCTCCTTATATGAGATATATATATATATATATATATATATATATATATATATATATATATATATATATATATATATATATATATATATATATATATATATATATATATATAAATAAATTGACGAACGATCCCCTTAATATTATGTGACGTCGTAGACCGACCATGGAGGGTAACAAAAAAACTTTATTCCCGTCGGAAACAGCCATTATAGTCGTTAAATAAGTTCATATAACGTAATTTCTTATATAAGCAAACAATATAAGTAAACAATGACATACGTCATACGTTCAGTTTTCAAGGGAGGTAACGTTTTTAAAATTATTATTTTTCAAATAATTGTATACTATTTTAAACAGAAACAGAAAATGACGAAGTATAGCATTTGTGTTAGTACAAAATTAAGTTGTTAATTTAGTTAAGTATGTTAATTAAATTAATTAATTAATTTCAAAAGGCAATGTAATATAAACTATGAGATATACTGTTCATGAAACCTGTGTAGTTCTAATTCCATTTTAGTTATACATTGCGTACTTTCCAAAAATTCGCTACGAATCTGCATGTAAATGACTAACAAAAACATTTTTTCTAAAGTTAGCATTACTGTTTAAATTAAACTTATTAAACTTATTAAAGCACTCCACACCCAATCCATCGCTTAATAATTAAGTATTCAAATTCTCAAATGCCTTTTTAAAAACCTAAGCGAAGCTAGGCAGTATGCCGAGTCTATATATATAAAGCAAAGTGGTCAAGTGCCCGATAGGGCACTTCCCGGCGCCGTAGGCGCGTCAAATTTGGCACGATGGTGCCTTGGGGCAATAGAACACGAGGGCCGGTGACGGTTGGCCGAAAAGTCTACGGAGAGGGGGTCAAAACTGACCTCGACTGACCGGCGCCTTATATGGGCTATATTACGAAAAAAAATTTCCTCCGACGACCCCCCTTGAAATTTTGTGAGGTGGTAGGAGAACGCCTTGGGGTGTCCCAAAAAACTCGCCATGTCCGGGAAAATTCGTTAAATGGGTCAAAACTGACCAGTCGTATTTCCCTATATAATCTTTGTATTTTATGGGAAAAACAGAGGGTGATTTCGAAACGGATTTTAGGGCACTTACCGTCTTTACATCTGGCTAAGTTTTTGCATGCTCTAAGGTAAATGGCATGACCTTTAGGGAAAACTGTCGGTTTCACTCAAAGCCCTCGACGAGGGCTAAAAAGTGACCGCGAGTGAAATTCTCTTTATATGAGCTCTATTACGAAAAAAAATTTCCTCCGACGACCCCCCTTGCAATTTTGTGAGGTGGTAGGAGAACGCCTTGGGGTGTCCCAAAAAACTCGCCATGTCCGGGAAAATTCGTTAAATGGGTCAAAACTGACCAGTCGTATTTCCCTATATAATCTTTGTATTTTATGGGAAAAACAGAGGGTGATTTCGAAACGGATTTTAGGGCACTTACCGTCTTTACATCTGGCTAATTTTTTGCATGCTCTTATGTAAATGGCTTGACCTTTAGGGAAAACTGTCGGTTTCACTCAAAGCCCTCGACGAGGGCTAAAAAGTGACCGCGAGTGAAATTCTCTTTATATGAGCTCTATTACGAAAACAAATTTCCTCCGACGACCCCCCTTGAAGTTTTGTGTGGTGGTAGGAGAACGCCTTGGGATGTCCCAAAAAACTCGCCATGTCCGGGAAAATTCGTTAAATGGGTCAAAACTGACCAGTCGTATTTCCCTATATAATCTTTGTATTTTATGGGAAAAACAGTGTAATTTCAACACAATTTTTAGGTTACTTAACCTCTGTACATCATGCTAATGTTTTGCATACATTTCTATAGATGACTAGGCCGTATGAAAAAACTGTTGGGCACACTCAAAGCCCTCGACGATGGCTAAAAGATGACCGCGAGTGCCATTCTTCTTATATGAGATGTATAAAAATAAATTGACGAACGATCCACTTAATATTATTTGAGGTCGTAGACCGACCCTGGAGGGTAACAAAAAAACTTTATTCCAGTCGGGAAAAGCCATTGTAGTCGTTAAATATGTTCATATATTGTATTTTCTACTATAAGCATTGCATCTGTTTGTTAAAAAAAAGTAAACAATGACAGCCGTCATTCGGGCCATTTTCAAGGGAGGTAACCTTTTTAAATAATTATTTTTCAATTAATTGTATACTATTTTAAACAGAAACAGAAAATGACAAAGTATAGCATTTGCTTTAGTATAAAATTAAGCTACCAATTTAGCTGCGTATCATAATTAAATTAAAAATATAATTTTAAAAGTCAATGTAATAGAAATTATTGAATATACTGTTCATGGAACCTCTGTAGTTCTATTTCCATTTTAGTCATAAATTGCGTACTTTCAAATATTTCTCTGAAAACGGATGATACGCAACAATCAACAACATCTTCTCTAAAATTAGCATTACTGTTTAAATTTAAGCACTCCATACCTCATCCACCACTAAATAATTAATATTCAAATTATCAACAAATGCTTTTGAAAACCTAAGCGAAGCTAGGCAGTATGCCTAGTATATATATATATATATATATATATATATATATATATATATATATATATATATATATATATATATATATATATATATATATATATATATACAATGAGAGAGAGAGTCAACAGAGGAGAGAGATTATATTATGACAAAAAACAATTCTTTTATACGCTACCCATATTTAACTTTACCCGAAAAAAATGACGAAATATTAACATGAAGTACCTCAAAGACATATCCAGCATGGACGCCTGCCACGAATATCACCTCAGCGGTAAATCTAAGTAGAAAGCTAGCGAGGAGGTTGATGTGTATCTTGGTACGGGCGCTTCTTAGTCGGCTGAAATAAAAGCAAACAGGCATAGAAAGAAGTGTATCTTTATATGTCATTTTAATTTATTTAATTTATTTTAATATTTTAACAAATTGGAATAAATAGTGAATTTTAACATATGGTTGTATGGGCGGGGGGATGTGTCAATAATTCGCATTAGTTTACTCGCCTATGACGCACTTAGGGGGTTGGAAAGAAAACTTAATATATTTTAAAATCTTTATTTTGTTTCATTTTTAAAAGAGTTGTGAACCATGTATGTATGATAATTTTAGTTACGTAAAAACTAAGGCTAGAACGCAGAAAATCAGTTAAGATTTTTCCTGTCCATCTAGAATGGATCAATTAAAAAAACCAAAACAGTTTTCATGAAAAAGTAAAACTTTCAAATGTAGTTATAAATAAAAATTTAAAAAAATTAAAAACAAGAATTGTTAATTTGGTTAGAATTGTTAATTTGGTTATTGAATAAAAATGGCTTGTTGAAAAACAAAATAAAATAAACCGGGAGTGATCTCCCCTAAACTTTCTCGAATATTCTAATATAACACTACGTGGGATGGCAACTCGGAATATAGACATGATTTTTGTTTACTTAAACCTTTAAAAATAGAATAAAATCTAGTAGAAAAAAGAATTGCGCACCAAGTGAACGCCAAAGCAAAAAGCGCAAAATAGTGCGCAATATTATTAGTTCTTTATAAATTTACATGCGTTTTTTGAGAAATCGGAAATAGCGTAAATTAGTACTTCCGGTCAACGGAAATTACTCAAAATTTGAAAGAATGTAGAGAATTAGATCTTTTACTTACATGTGAAATTTCATTTATCTATCTGAAATAGTACTCAAGTTATAGGCTTTTAAAAAATTCAAAGTAGAAAAAGTACCACTTCCGGTTGTCGGAAAACGCTCAAAAGTTCATATGGATCTATGATTTTGATAAAATACCTATATATGAAATTTCATCAACCGAGCTGTAACGGTACTAAAGTAATCGTGTTTACACACAGACAGACAGACACACACACACACAGACATACGGACACGATTGCAAAATTATGTTTTCCGTATCAGTGAGGTGTAAAACGTCGAGATTTGTAAAAATCTCGATTTTTTTTTGCACGATTACAATACTTTCTCTATACTTCGTATATACGAGAAAGTAAATACCAGAAAGGTGTTCAAGCAATTGAGATGTGTTGCAAAAATAATGACTCTATTATCTAGGTGAGTAGCAATTAAAACTAGACAAACGAACACAAATACAATTCACTAACTAAAATAATAGGTAAACGTTTGAATACATTACTCACTTGCAGCAGACCAGCACGCTCACAGCAGAAGTCAGAATAACTAAATTTATAGAACCTCCATACAAGTAACAGTAAATCATTATCTGTAAGGTAAATTACATAATAAAATGTTTAATACATTTTTATTAGATGTAAAAAAAAACATTATTCTAGCAACTATTGTACGAAAATGGTAAGCACGTGTGGTATAATTAATTATTCAATTAATATTCATTAATCTAATTAGCAGGAGTCCACAAGTAGACTGCTGATATGCGATATATTTTCAGCATACACTGCGTAGTGTTGATGTGGCATTACTAGATCAGTGCATTATGTGTGTCACTATTCCTGGCATAGTAAAATTCGATGAATAGTTTTATTGGCACTGTATCACTTAGACAAGAAAGTGTCACAAAAACTAGTTGTCATTCAGATATCAAAACATAGTAGCTCCTGCTAGTAGAACAACTTAATAGTATATAAATTTAGGTTTATGGTTGATAAAAAAAGAATTATCATTTCAATTTTTTAAATAGTTTTATTTTTAGGTATACATGTTTTTAAATTAGAACACAAATTTTGTAAGCTACTATCTACTATTTTTATATAGGTAAAAAATTTGTTTAAAAGTTTGAGTGTTTTTGCTTTTGTCTATCTACTTGTGCACTAAAATAAATAAATAGCTAAATACAAATTTTGAAAGAGAAATTTGAAGAATAAATTACCATTCTACGATATTCCGAGTCAGCTGAAAAAAAATCTGAATTACTTGCAAAGAATGAAATTGTACCAATGTTATAATAAGCACATTGTTTATCTTATAATTCATTTTATAAAACGAAGAAGAAATCCTAAATAAACTAAAGGACTGTAAAGTTACTGAAGTATAATCATTAAGTTTAGCGAATAAGTAAAATAACATACACGTTTTCACACACCTTATATACCCTTAGAAAAAACACGTAACAACCGGACTGTCATAACTCACAGCATGAGGGTTGAACAGGGACGAACTGGACAGGGTACAAAGTACAAACAACATTCACCCTCTTTCATTCTCCTTTACTCATTCACTACTATATATATATATATATATATATATATATATATATATATATATATATATATATATGTGTGTGTGTGTGTATACATATATATATATAAATATATATATATATATATACATACACACACACATATATATATATATATATATATATATATATATATACATATATATATATATATATACATATATATATATATATATATGTATATATATATATATATATATATATATGTGTGTGTGTGTATGTATATATATATATATATATATATATATGTGTGTGTGTGTATGTATATATATATATATATATATATATATATACAATCGCTGTATTTCTGCTGGTGATGGTGATACAATACCAGGAGTCTGGTGAGCTAAAGAATATGTACTCCCCATTTTGAGTTAGCGCCACAACATCTTACTCTTTATTTTTTTCTATATTTTTAAATCTTATGTCACACTTTGTGATATATTGCCTGTGCAGGTACAGATATTGCTGGTACACACATTTGTACGTGTGTGGACACATATAACATTTATAAATTTAAAACACCACAGGCCAGAAGTCTAATATTTAGACTGTATATTTTAATACCTTTTTTTCATGTACCTTTTTTTCATGTACCTTTTGATGATATTCTTAATTTTACCATTGTCGGGTAAATTATTAACTCACTGTTTTCGTCATCCGTATAGTAGTGGTCAGTTCCTGTTTTGTTTGTTACGTTAAGCTCCGTGTTTTCCTCCATTGTAGAACAGGTCTATTTAAAGACAATAATTGATGTAGTTAGCAATGTATTTCAAAATATTATTAAATTACTCTGAAATATTTTTTTTTCGTGTGGAATTCAGATGGTTTAGAATTGTAGTATTTTCTAGAAGAAGTGAATACATGATCAAAGAAAACGGTCGATTGATATATGGATTTCAAGGCTTAGGACTATACGGGTAGATAAAAACATAACTATATCCACATAAATAAGGTTAATGCGTCGTTCTAAAGACATGAAACAAACTTCAACAACAATTGAAGCTGATTCAAAACTGTTTTTAAGCATTAGTTTTAATTGGAAAAAAAAATAAGCCCATAATAATTATTTTATTCACATGTCCATCTCCCAGTAATCCCATTTACCAGTTGTTTATGCGACGCATGAAAACAGACTTCTAATTCCATACAAGCAAAGTAAGCCGCAACGAAATAAACTTACTTTGGTCTGACTATCGAAACAGATTGACACAGCATGTTAAAAGCAAGGAAACGTATAGTCCACTGTAGTGCCAGAGTAGAACAGGAAACTGTAACGGAAGGGGCGGTGACGGCACAATGTTTTCAATGAGTCCAGACACGCAGGTCATTGACTGATACTTGTGGTACTAAAGTCGGTTAGTGTTATATGTCCGTGTTTTGTGTACAAGCTGAGGCGTCGCGAGGCGGGGGCAGGGGGTGCGGACCGCACCGCGTAACACCATTTAGGGGGTGACACCAAGACAAATAATAATTGCAACATATATAGAATAAATATGTTTTTTGCCAGTTCAATGAATGGTTAATTAGAGTTAAAATTATTTAAAGTGCATAATGATGATCCAGACAAAGGGGGGGGGGGTGTTACACCCAGTGGCGTAGCGAGGTCGGGTGTCACCCGGTGCGGCACTTAATGGTGTCACCCCCAGAGGTGTAGCGACCCTTCCATGGGACAAACTTTCAAATTTTCGATTTGCACCCCCCTCAAACTTTCGATTTGCACCCCCCCCCCCTCAAGTTTTTTTCGATTTGCACCCCCCCCCTCGAGTTTTTCTCTATATATTTTGCTATTTTTTGCCTTGGTGTCACCCCCCTAAATGGTGTCACCCGGTGCGGTCCGCACCCCCCGCCCCCCCCCTCGCTACGCCCCTGGTTACACCATGATGTAAACATGCAAGCAATAGAGAAAATAATGCTACATCCAGCTGTATTAACACCCCGGGGTTAACTCAACTCCCCCCTACGTTCTGGACTATTCTATTCTATTCTAATCTAACCTACAACTGACCCGTAACATTTCCTCCTTTGTTCTTTTTTTACATAAATTTGAAAGATGGCACAAAACGATTTGAATCCAATTCTTCTATTTAAACTCGTGAACTATCCTGGTAAGATGTAAGAATAGTAATTGAATGTCTTGTTGATTCTACCTTATAGCTCATTTTTTCTATTACTCACGTTATCTGCTATCGTGTTTGTTTCTTTATTTAGTCAAGGTTCCCACCGCAAAGATCGTGACATTTCTCTTGTCTTTCTTGTTATCTGTGCATGTTGCGAACTGTATCTGCCGCTCATGTTGTTATCTATATTATGCTGCTATGAGGGTATCTAAAGCTATAGGTCACTGCAATGGGACAATGCTATTTTTAGGGACGATTTTATTTTTAGGAAGGATGTTATTTTTTAAAGACGATGTTATTTATAGAGTTTAATCTCTGGGACTATAAACACCTAATCTAGCTCACGCCTACCGAATATTGAGAGACAAACAACCTAAGCAGTAAAGAAAGCCTACCGCCCCCCCCCTGAACCAAATGGAATTTATATAGAAAATACATACTTTTAACAGAGTCCGCCCCTCCCCCCCCCCCCCCGGAAATTTTAGTCCGCCACCCCGCATTAAAAATTTCAAGTGCTCCCTCCGCGGAGAAAAAAGTCTGAAAGAAACACTGTTTAGAACTACACCATACGTATTAACGCTGTTCTCTTTATCTGTTGGGGACAGTCCATAAATTAAATCTTTAGATTTTAACATATGTAACCCCCCCCCCTTTTCATATTCACACGATTTCATTATACGTATCAGCATAGTTCATCTGTAAACCAAACAACGAGTAAAAACCAAACTGTTTGTTTTTTTTTCTTATGGTACAGTATAATCATTTAAGATATTTCCTAGTGTAGGTATATCAAAATTTTTCTTCAAGAATGTTGTGACGACCATTATATGTGCTTATTGTGTCACATCACATTCACTATCTTAAGAGTGGCGGGGTTCAAGGTTACAGTATAATTCCTTATCCTGGTCGCTTACAGCGAATTCGGAAAATAAAATCCAATCGATGAAAATGAGATGCAACAGGAAATTAATCAGAATCTCATACGAAATCCGCCTCTTTTGTGGGCGAATTAATTCAACAAGAGTCGATCGGTCATCTTGAAGATCTGCTGACACATGAAGATCTGCTGACACTTGAAGATCTGCTGACACATGAAGATCTGCTGACGCTTGCTAAAAATAAAAGCTCTATTTGCACAGACATTTGAGGTCATGGGGGAAAACTTCTCTACCAGATACAGTGCCAGACATACCATAATTATTCAGGCTAAAATAAAAATGGGAAGATAATCAGAGAATAAACGAGCCTTTATATAGCTAAATGACAACCTAGCACTGTAATTTAAATGACATTGGTCAGTTTGTTTTACCAAAGTTGTAATTAAAAATATTAAATTACAGAACAGTAATTTCTGTTCTTATTGGTAACATGTTTAATACTAAATTTCTGTACGTAGCAGAAATTTGAATAGCTTCCTATATCTGAAATAATAAACAGTTAATTAACGATGATACGTGTAGATTAAAAATAATCATTTATATTGTTTATGTAATAAATTCTATTGATTCGTTTTTTTTTCAAGGGTGGAGAGGGGGGAGCTAAATCGCTTTGAAATGGTAAGTCATGGATTGTACTGTAGTTTCTGTAAAGTTCTAGCGTTAAAAGACTAATATTGATTGGTATTATATGTTCACGCGCACCTATTTACACTCGAGTTGTAAGTTAAATTTATAAAATAAGTTTTTACACAGTCCAAAATTATTAATCAATCACAAAACCGTATGTTACAACGTGTTGTTACAGCGTTAATTTGACAAATTTAGTCTGATGTTAATTAAAGAAAAGTACGTTAAATACAGCCAAAAAAAAAATACTAAGTTGGAATGTAAAAAAAAAACAATCAAAAACAATAAAACCTCTTTTTAAAAAAAAAAAACCAAACCCTCTCTTGTATTACGAAAGTAGTTTTCATTCAGACCGCCAAGTGTAGGCATGTATGAAAGTCAGCATTTATTATTTATTTATTTATAGTGACATTAACATGTTAGGTTGTGTCTGGTAAATAATTTAACCCTATGCGCTATGTGTGTGAGGCGACAGCGGAAATACTTCAATGGATCCAAAAGTCATACACTTAGTTTAATTGGCACTTGATAAGTAATTTAAGTAGGATGTATAGCATGGTGTTATAATAATAGCTAATCTTTTAAAATGTTCATATCATTTTCCTGCACATTTAAATATGTATAAAATACTTGAACAGATAATGTTAATCCAGATAAGCTGTAATAAGTACTAACTCAAAATGTCTTAATGTGCGAATTCTTTTTTTTATATTTTTGAGTACATGTTCAGTTCTGGGTGTACGATTTGTGGATGCGCTCTGCATTCATTCCATCACTACCTAAATTTTACGCTTATTAATGTGTTGCTTTCTGCTGTATTGAGCCTTGCCTAACTCGTTAGTAGCCCGTCTTGAAGAGAAAACGCCAAGATCAAACAACAGCTTCCTTGCAGATAATTCTTGTGTGGACCGAAGTAAGGAAGCGAAACCAGAAAGAAAAGTAGGCTGAAATCGAAGTTAACATTCCTAAAGGCGCATAACACTTTAACACGTAATAATAAATAGATTTATTTCTTTATGTGATTTTTTTAGCTTTTTTGTAATTATGAATTTTAGAAATTAAAATAGTATTTCGTCGTTAACATTTCTAAAACATTTAGTATTTTAGTGCTTCTAAAGTAAGCTATCATCCTATACAACTCAAATGTTACACTGTAAATATTTTTTTTTTAATTTTGGGGGGAAAGCATCAACACTCAAAGGCATACAAAAGATAGAAAACAATGGAAATTAATTAAATTAATCAATTTTTATTTTTGTTCAGAATGTAAAGAATGGATATTTATATTACATAAATTAAATATGTACAGCCGATCTAAAACAAGCTAAATCAACAATCATGTAGCAAAACGCTTGTGGATTTTGTATGTCAGGTATCTTAGCAAGTGGGCAGATACTATGTCAGATATCAGGTAGGTCACCTTGTCAGGTATCACAAGGGGTAAACACCTTGTCAGATATCACATAAGTAAGCACCTTGTTAGGTATCATAGCAAGTGGGCAGATACTATGTCAGATATCAGGTAGGTAGACACCTTGTCAGGTATCACATAAGTAGACACCTTGTCAGGTATCACAAGATTAGACACCTTGTCAGGTACCATAGGGGTAAACACCTTGATAGATATCACATAAGTAAACACCTTGTTAGATATCAAATAAGTAGACACCTTGTCAGGTACCACATAAGTAGACATCTTGTCAGGTATCACAAAGGTAGACACCTTGTCAGATATCAAATAAGTAGACACCTTGTCAGGTACCACATAAGTAGACATCTTGTCAGGTATCACAAGGGTAGACACCTTGTCAGATATCACATAAGTAGACACCTTGTCAGGTACCACATAAGTAGACATCTTGTCAGGTATCACAAGGGTAGACACCTTGTCAGATATCACATAAGTAGACACCTTGTCAGATATCACATAAGTAGACATCTTGTCAGGTATCACAAGGGTAGACACCTTGTCAGATATCACATAAGTAGACACCTTGTCAGGTACCACATAAGTAGACATCTTGTCAGGTATCACAAGGGTAGACACCTTGTCAGATATCACATAAGTAGACACCTTGTCAGATATCACATAAGTAGACATCTTGTCAGGTATCACAAGGGTAGACACCTTGTCAGCTATCACATAAGTAGACACCTTGTCAGGTACCACATAAGTAGACATCTTGTCAGGTATCACAAGGGTAGACACCTTGTCAGGTATCACAGGGGTAAACACCTTGTGAGGTACAGTTGTATACCAGAACCCATAACATCTGAACAATAATGCCATACACATTCCACACTCCACCTCACCTAACTTTTGACGTCTAACAGCTCTTGCTTAACTTTACTTTCGCGAAATTCATACGCTACCTCGCTGTATATGCAATAACAAATTAAACACGGAATGGTATCTTAAGTCTTAAATACAAAGTCAACATTTTTTTTCTCAGAATTCCATTACGTGCCAGATAAATGTTTCAAATCGTTCTGTAACACAAGGCGAACACTTGGCGTTACAGCGAGACAACTCCTCGCAGGTGAACTTTACAAAAAGCTGTTAGTCTCCCCTTGTTCTGTGACCTCGATTATTGCCCCTAGCTGTTCTAGTTGTTCTAGTGGTACGAACGTTGAATCGTCCCTAGCCTGGCTGATGTTGAATTGTGCTGTCAGAGAAAAAAAAAACAAGCTATTAATATATTCAAACAACCAACGTTTACAAATTTTAAATATAAAGGAAAATATTAGCTGTAACCGTAAAAAAAAGTTGGTCGTTAAAGTGTAGGCTCTTTGGTTAGACTTAGTAGAATGGGAAATGACCAGTTAGAATCAAGGATGCGTCAGGCCAGTTGACGATGAATGGCACTTATTTTCTGAAGAGCTTGGAGAAGGCTCGGACACCTATAAAGGGGAGAAATTTCTAGTAGAGGGTTATTTTATAGGTGGCAGTTTTGTTTTTATTAAAAGGACAGGTACAACCCAATTTATTATGAAAAACATTTTGTTTTTAAATAATTAACTAAATGAACCTTTTGTGAACATTTTTTGCTAATTTTTTTTTTAAATGTACATTAGGCACTGCTTAATTTAATTATTTAAATAACCATTATTATGCAAAAATTATCTAGTTAAAAATGCTTCATTTTGATTAATTAACTTTTTAAAAAATAATTATCCAATTTAAAAAAAGATGCAGTACTACAATCAAGTTATTCCTGTTTTCAAGATTTTAACAGTAACATTTTCAATTTAAAACCGCGATGTGTTTAGTGAATCAATTAACTTCTTATGAGATAATACACTTCAATCAGTGACATGTTTTCGTATTTGCGTTTTGTCGAGATCACTTCTTTTGATACCTCGTGGAGTCTCTCTCCAAAATTTACAAAAATATATGTTTAGGATGTAAGCCTACCATTATTCGAGTGTTGCAAAATTGAAGATATTGAATTTAATGTAACATCCGACCCTAATTCATAAAATGTTTAGTATTCTTTAAAATCAATCAAAAATGAAAAAAAAATTCGCACATCATGATGATACTAATGTAATTGCCAATTTTCAGATGCAATATATGTTAATACTTTTTTTCATAGTCGGGCACATAAATATGTTACTAACTACAGTGTAAATAGTGTCGATAAAAAAATATGAGAGTGAGTTGTGATTGATTGGTAAAATTACAATTTAAAGGTATCGATTTTAAATATAGATTTTTTCAAATTAGTTATGGAGCCATTATAATTTTGTAGGAAAGGATAAAAATTGTTTCATTACAACTAATATTTAATCTCCAAATTCAGATTATATTTTTGCTATTTCAGAATAGTAAAAACATTTTTAAAAATTGCAATAGCCAACTAAAAATGTTAGAAATTTTTTTGACGACTAAGTTTTTTCAGTTACAGCGTACGAATATTTATAGGTTTTCTTTTTTATGCACTTCAGTGATAGCTTTTAATAAACTTTAGTGTTAACGCTAATTAAGCATTTATTCTTAAATCAATTTTTCAAAAAATGACATAGGCTTATCAAATATTGGCAATTTCTAAAAAAGTGAAGTAGGCCTGAAGGTTTTCCTTTATTTAGTCTTGATATGACTTTTACCATTTCAAATTACTTTGTGTTAAAATTTTTATTTAAAAAATGTACAAGCATATTATTATATGTCATATAGAGTTTTTAAAATTACGAAACTATCCTTCATCACAAATTTAATTGTGCATAATTAATAACAGATTAACAGTATTTAAATATAAGAGATAGTTTCCAGCAACATATTCACTAAATTATGCTATCCTAGTTAAGCATCAAGTTCGATTTATTTCTTATCTATTTGTTAATTAATTTTGAAATACATCGAAATGTATCTGTGTACTAACTTGAGATGGTGGCGTTCGACGACCTCTTACGCGATGATAAGCTTTTGATCGTCCGCAAGTCTTTGAACCGTGACCATCGACGTGTGAAGGTTTGTATTACCTGGAATGATTTTAATATCTAGAACATGGAAGTAGAAATAAAGTGTGAAATATACCACAAGTTTTGACGTTGTGAGTTTCTATTTTAACTAGATCTAGATCAGTTTAAATGTGGTGTCAGACGGGTGCGATGATATTGATAGTGCGTCATTCCGTTGAGTGTTTGTCATCAGATGCAGTTATAGCAAGTCATTCCGTTGAGTGTTTGTAAACAGATGCGGTTCTAGCAAGTCATTCCGTTGAGTATTCGTCAACGGGTGCGGTACTAGCAAGTTGAGTGTTTGTAAACAGACGCGGTTCTAGCAAGTCATTCCGTTGAGTGTTCGCCAACAGATGCGGTTCTAGCAAGTCATTCCGTAGAGTTTTATAAATAAGGTCAGTTGTGAACTAATGTTAGCAAAAACAATTTACAGCCTCGATCTGAGTATAAGGAATACGTCTAACAATTAGCATTGTCTTGCACACGTTGTTAATTTTTTGTGTTTAAAAAACTAAAGGAAAAAATAATTTGATTTTAAATCGCTGTCAAGCCCCTGACGTTTTTAAAACAAGCTTGACGCATGTAGATGTTATAATGTCGATGTTAAATGGAGTAAAGTCTGGGTGTTATAAAAAGCGGATAAATTGTTGATTTTTACAAAAACATGATAAATGTCATTCTAGAATGACGTAATGTTGAGATCTATACCGAAGGTGTAACAAATCTCTAGGTTTTAAAGGTCTTGTCCTGCCACACACTCAAACGTTTGATCAGCCTGCTTATTTTTTTGTCAGGGTAAACAACTCTAAAACATCCACTCGGGTAATTACCTTTCCACTTGCTACAGAATAGATGGCACAGATTATAGCCTGTAGAGATGCAACATCAAAATACTTTATTAGGGCATACGTATATATGTATATATATATATATATGTATATATATATATATATATATATATATATATATATATATATATATATATATATATATATATATATATATATATATATATATATTATAAAGCTTAAATGGTTTCTCTGTCTCTGTATATATGTGACAACTGACAGAAGACAGAAGACAGACCCTTGACAATAGAGGAATATAGTAAAAAAATCTCTACTTGATCGCCATAGTGTAATTCACCTAAAGTGTTTAAATCTAAATGAATCATTAAAAAAATAATGTGGACGGTTTTGTAAACCAAGTTTCATTTTCCAAAGCATTTTAATTAACGTGAAATAACCAAAGTCAAAGAATATGTAACTTAAAAATTTAACTTAGTACTAAACAGATAGTGTTAGTTACCTCACAAGTTACAGACAGTTACAAATACTATGGACGTTTCGACCCAAGGTCTTCGTCAGCACACAACAGTGTGGTTACAGATTAGACAGAAAAGACAAACAGTAACACAATTTTGGACTTAGCTCGACAGTAAAAACACGTCTTGTTCTAAATGCCACGATATCCAAACGAAAAGACACATGAAATATTGCGTTTATATCTGTAGTTGTTTTTCACGCGTCATAAAAGCAGTGTTCATAATATAGCCCCGGGCGCCAAATCTCACCCTTCCGGGGCGCCGGCGAAGCTACCTGATATAATACTTCTATTTGAAATTGTATCAACCTTGCTGTAAAGATAGGCTACTCAAGCTATCGTGTTCACAGACATACAGACATACACGCATATATACATACACACACAGAAATACAGACAGAATCTGTTTTTTTTTCTAACTCAGGGAGGGGTTAAGCGAAATCTCGATTTCGATTTTTGCAAGATTACAATACTTCCTCTATACTTCCTATACGAGAAACTAACAAGTTTAGCTTAATATAAAATATTCATCTCCGCTCATAACAGTCATAGCATGCAAGCATACAGATCGGCTGTTATATATTTCAATTATAAACACAGACTTGACAAATTGAGATAACACTATCTCACACATATAACCTGTACATGTGGAGCTACAATATCATGGCATACAAACATACGAATCGACTTGACAAAGAGAGATAACATTATTTCACACATCTAACCTGAACATGTGGGGCTGCAATGTTATAAATTTTGTAAACACGATTAAACGTTGTAGTAGGATCATTGTTGATCGGATAAGCAAACACAAGATGTATTGGGCCAAGCAAAAACATCAGAATCGTCAGCGACTTGGACACCTGCCTGATAAAATATCCAGATATTTTATAAGAACATTTGATATGAAATAATGTTATATTTGTGTTTAATATTGATATCAGTTTTATGTAAAATAAAGAAAACCATACGAGTATTCATGACAGTAGAGAGATAGTTGCTGCAATGTACGTGGGCAGTTACAAAGGGATTGATTTGGGTATGGGTATAGTTATGGGCATGGGTATGGGTTGGTGAGGGTCAATGGTACGGATACGGGTATGAGATATGATATGGGTTATGGTGTGGGCAATAGTATGGGTATTGGTATTGGTAATGGTAATGGTATGGATAATGGTATGGGTAATGGTATGGGTAATGGTATGGGTAATGGTATGGGAATGGTTAAGGGTACGTTTTTGCTTATGGCTAGACTAGTTATAGTAACCGACATGCGAATTTAGAGTCCAAAAGATAAATAAACAAACAAGTGCCTAGTATAACAAAAACGTTTTAAATTACAATCTACTGGGAAGTAATTAAAATAATATATGGGGGGATAATCTTTTAATAATAAGAGTAAAACCGTACCATATTTTTTTTGCTTCTGTGTTGTTGTTTGAAGACAATTTCATAAAAATGATCCTGATTAAGTTTATAACAATAATTAGACTGATCTGAAAGTAATTAAACAATAATGACCGTAATTTAGAAAAATGTAACTCAAATAACAATCCCTGAGTAATGAGTGCTGTAAATGGGGCACTCATTGAAAGAAAACGTTTGTCAACATGGGAAAAATTCTTATAGAATATCGTAATTGTAAACGACAGAGGAATGAACTAACCAAAATACTTTAACAAACTTAATTTCAAATTTTACCGACTCTCAGTTAATTTTTGCGATGATTTTACTTTTGCTTAAATTTAAAGAAGCTGTTAGTTAATTGTAAAGTTAAATTCATTATAGTTTGCTCAAAAAAATTAAATTACATTATTTAGCTGTTTACTTATGAATTAACTTAAACTTTGTTTGCATAATTCCAAGTTATTCAGCAACAACTTACCATCAAACTAATTATCGTGGTAACCGTTATAACGTAATCACATCCGTTGCTCGGGTGAGTTTTAGAATCAATATGCACACACACCGACCAAGAGATAATTATCAAAATTGGAAAACCTGTAAAACATTGGACACGATTCTCTCACACGATTCTCAATAGATGCAGGTAATATAACTATTATCAAAATCAAGCACCTGTTGGTCTGTATTCAGTAAATGCATTCAAATGTATAACGTGGATAGTGTGGTCAGAGCCATTATCGGCCGGAATCTTTTTTTTAAACGATAAAACATGTTGTATGAGACTTGGTGGAACACTGGGCAGGTGAAGTAGAGTTGGGTAGGTGTAAAGTTCACCTGTGACGTCAGCATATGAAGAGATAGTGTGGTCAGAGCCATGCTGAGCCGAAATCTGTGCTTTCAAAGACAAAAAAAAACATGTCTGAGATGGGAGGACACTGGGTAAGTGAAGTAGAGTTGACCTGTTTTTGTGACCTAAGGATATGAAGAGATTGTGTTGTCAGACCCATGCTCAGCCGAAATCGGTGTTTTTAAAAGACAAAAACGTCTGAGGTGTGACGATTTTAGCTCAATCGGACTAAGGGAAGCGGGTTAAATTTAGCTTCCAAGATTTGTGGAGATACACACACACACACACACACACACACAGTCACGCACACACACACACACACACAAATATATAGTGAGCAAAAAAAAACCGTTTAAAACATAGGTTTATAAAAGAATTTGTTCAACTCTTTTACCCCAGCCAATGAAGTAGAAAAGTAAAAATGGCGGCTTGCTGTCCTGGAAGGGCCGTAAGACAAGAATGAAATGCAGGTAGAGTCCTTCAACCAACATCCACATGAAGGTGGCCAACCATATATAGTTAAAGATGTAGCGGACTATTTTGTAGAACACATTCTAAAATATGAAGTATATTTAAATACATGTTATGATATAGTTGCTTTATTCGATACAATTATTTATCTTAAAACTCTTAAAAACACAATTTTGCTCCTTTAATTGTTCGACCTGATCCTTGCTTTATTGATTCCGCAGTTTACAAAACTGTATATATATATATATATATATATATATATATATATATATATATATATATATATATATATATATATATATATATATATATATATATATATATATATATATATATATATATATATATATATATATATATATATATATATATATATATATATATATATATATATATATATATATATATATATATACATATATATGTATATATATATATATATATATATATATATATATATATATATATATATATATATATGTGTGTGTGTGTGCGTGTGTATGTTTGTGTATGTATAGATATGTATAGATATTTAGATATTGATATATATGGGAGAGGAAAATATATATTGATAATTTCAGATTCTACACTGTCTTCCTTTACCCAGAAAAAAGAAGTATAAATAAGAATTACCTGAAATTCAAGGCCTGCCTTTAATGCTGATACAACGGTTACCTCGGTGGTAAATCTTAGAAAAAAGCTAGCGAGGAGGTTGATGTGTATAGTGTTACGGTAGCTCCTCAGTTGTCTGTTAAAAAATGAATATCAAGTGTATCTTGATTAGTAATAAAATGGCTTCATTGTTTTTGAACAATTGCTTATCATTTAGTGTAATGCCTAGTAGGGTTATTGTTATCTATGGGGGCCTAGAGAAAAAAGTATTTGAAACTCTACATTTTTATAATCTTATAAAATTTACAAGCATGATATTTTTAGTTAGAAATGGCTAGAGAAATGAAAATCATGATTAATAATAACTTATCAGTCAACCATCGAATCATTTGGAGTAAGCAAACTTATTTTAGATGAAAATGCTAAAACATTGAAATCAATGCTTTTTTTTTTAAAAAAAACATGAAAATCAACAAACATGTTATGATTCTAAATACAAATACTGTAAATTAAAACCTCATTGCTAACTGGCATATTTACTACGATATGGATTGTGTGAAAAAAATATTGATAGCTACTGTTTTTGGTGGCATTATGACCCAGATGAGTAGACTATTTTTAAACAAAACTAAGCCTTCTAGAATGATTTTCTTTGTTTTAAAAACGTCGCTGTTAATAGCAAGAACATTCTAAGTTGAAGTTAACTGATTATCTTCGTAAGAGAAAAGTAACACTTTCGTAAAGACAGTGGCGTCGCTAGGTCGGGTATCACCCACTGCGGTACCCCATGGTGTGTCGTCCCCCCCCCCCCCCCCCCAAAAAAAAGAAATTAAGTGTTATATATGAAGGTCTACATAGGCCTATATAATATATATATATATATATATATATATATATATATATATATATATATATATATATATATATATATATATATATATATATATATATATACATGTATATATATATATATATATATATATATATATATATATATATATATATATATATATATATATATATATATATATATATATATATATATATATATATATATATATATATATATATATTTATATATTTATATATTTATATATATAAATTAATGTACAAAAAGCTTCATTTTAATCGTGAATCATTAGATTTTGGTATCACCACCTCCAAAATTTGATTGAAAATACTCAATAAACCTTTTACCTTTTTTCTTCTGTAAGTTTTGCAGTTGTTGTCACCTCCTTCCCTTCCCCCTCCCCCCCCCCCCCCCCCACCCTCCCCCGGTGATAGTTTTAAAATGTGCATAGTTAATAGTAAAAAAATGTATCTATAGTCAGTTATTTATAGTGGATTATCTGTAATTAATCGTTAATCGAACTGGTAAAAAGCATTTTTCTTTTATATAATTTGCCATTTTTCGCCATGGTGTCACCCCCCTTAAAGGTGTCACGCGGTGCGGTCAGCAGCTCCCGCCCCCGCCTCACGACGCCTCTGCGTAAACGTAATTTCGTGCGCGAATTCTTGTTTAATTCTAAATTCTGTAAATATAGAATCATAGTTTGTAAGCGCTTCATTGAGTGTCGTTATTCCAATTTTTTTTCGCTATTTACAGATTTCTCCGTAACATAATTTATATTTCCTTAGAACAGAATCTGATATAGTCAAAATACTAAATAATTTGTTGTAAATAAACCGGGAGTGATCTCCCCTAAACTTTCTCGAATATTCTAATATAACACTAAATTCACATGCGTTTTTTTGAGAAATCGGAAATAGCTTGAATTACTACTTCCGGTCGACGGAAATTACTCAAAATTTAATAGAAGGCAGGGAATGAGAACTTTTACTAACATGGGAAATTTCATTTATCTATCTATAGGCTTTTGAAAAATTCAAAGTAGAAAAAGTTCCACTTCCGGTTATCGGAAATCGCTAAAAAGTTGATAAGGATCTACGATTTTGATATAATACTTATATATGAAATTTCATCAACCTAGCTGTAACGGTACTCAAGTTATCGTGTTTATATATATATATATATACACACACACACACACACACACACACACACAGAGACATACGGACAAGATTGCAAGACTATGTTTTTCCGACTCAGGGAGCCCTAAAACGTCAAGATTTGCAAAAATCTCGAATTTTTTTTTGCACGATTACAAGACTTTCTCTATACTTCGTATAAACGAGAAAGTAAAAATGTATTGGGTGTCATAAAACAGAACAGCAACAAACTAACACTTAGTAATGCAAAAGGTTATAACAGTCATACATTACTCACTTGCAGCAGATCAGTATGGCCAAAGCGGAAGTCAGAATGACTAAATTGATAGAGCCTCCATACAAGTAACAGTAAATCATTACCTGCAAAACAAACTGATTACTCGGCAGCCCATAATAAAATTGTCAACAAATTATCAATACAAGATAATCAATATAAATGTTGTTGCTAGCTAATATTTTAAATAATTGGTAAAAGCCTGTGGTTATATTAATTACATAATTAACATCACTTAATCGCTTTATCGGGTCCCTATGTAGGCCTACGCTGTCATGCAATATATTTTCAGCATATTTTTAGTGTGTGTTGATACTGCGGTAAATTATATCAGTGTATTATCATTATCTTTTAACTAATTGTGCGTAAAGTTGATGTATTGGTATGTATTACTAATTGAAGCGTAGAAAAATTAATTAAAATATTGTAATGTGATTTTATCAGTTGGTATTATTCAGACAACGGTATCACCCTGACAAGAGACATACACCCCTACAAACAAACACTCTGACATCCCTACAAACATACACTCTGACACCTTCAAAAAATATTCACTAGTAACTGCTAGCATAACTTTATAACAGTACTAGCCGTCCCGGTCAGGTCCTGCACTGGCCTCTGTGAAAAACCGATCTGTAAAGGACCATGACTTGTGCGTTTATTAAGCTGCCTATACCCGGCATTGCCCGGGTTTAGGAGATCTATATTGCTTTTCGAATTAACCCTAAAAACAACTACCAAAACCTAAACCCTAAACGCAAACACCAACGCAAACACAAACGCAAAGACAAACAAAAAAGCAAACACAAACACTAAAACAAACGAAAACAGAAACACAAACGCAAACAAAAGACAAACACAAACCCAACGAAAACGCAAATACAAAGAAAACACAAACACAAACCCAACTAAAAACACAACGCAATTACAAACAAAACCACAATGAAAATACGAACAGAAACAAAAAAAGCAAACACAAACGCAAACATAAACATAAATACAAACGCAAACACAAACACCCTGCCGGGGTGCCTGCGGAACCGCCTGATTTAACAACTTAATAAACAACTATAATACCCCAATTAATCCATTAGTCTTTTGCACTCACTTAAACAAACGTAGGCGCCATAGTGCTCACGGGAAGTCCAGGGGCGCCACATGACGCCCTGGATTTGATTTAGTGAAGAACTTTACTAACCCTTTTTATCCATAATCTATCTATAGTCTATCGCGTTGTATAAAACGAACGTATGCGCCATAGCGCTCACATGATAGCCGAGGGTGCCAAATCGAACCATGCCGGGGCTCCAGCGGACGCGCCTTTTTCAACTGAGTGAACGACTATAATACTCCCCGCATGTCCGCAAACCGAAAGATAGAAGTAAACATAGAGGACAATGCTAATTGTATAATTACTTTTTTGATAATTATTTTTTTACAACACTAATACAGACTAATAAAAAGTATTTTTCCCCCGATGTAATGGTTTTTTTTTAAGAAAAGTTATATATTTTTGTGATTTATCAAGTTACGTAAGCTGCAACAAAGGAACAAAGTGAAGTAATTTGTACAATTTTTTAATTTTTCTGAAGGACGATACATTTTCTCTGACTATGTTTATTCCAAATGACGTTAATTAAAAGGACACGTTTGGAAAATGAATCTTTTTTTTAGAAACTCATCGATATTAATTTTTGTATCATTAATTTTGATAATAAATGCTTTAAGAATATTGCAGCATGACGATCAAGTCGAGTTTTTTTACTACATGCCTCTACTGTCAAAGATCCGTCTGCCCGCCACATACATACATACATACATATAGAGCTACAGAATCCGTTTAAGCTTTATATATTAGATGTAAACATCGGATCACGGTAATAAAATGAACTGTATAGAAATTTTAAAATGTTAAATCTAGTTTATTTTTATAGGTACAATGTGTTAAAAATCACAACACGCTTTGCATGAAATTTTGTAAGCACTGCTTTCTATGAATATCAAAGTTGGAACGAAGAGTGATAATATTCTACAGTTTTAAATATTTTAAGTTTTTAAATTTTATTTCATATTCGATTATTTTTGATTGACCAAAAAAATTGGCCTAATGATTATTTTTTTTCACACTCGCACAGAAACGCTGGTTAAATTTTTAACCATATCATCACATCGTGGTATCCTGGTAGAATTATGTTAGTTTTGGAAAAGTTCTGGGCCCAGAAATTTCCATTATTATTGTGAAAGTGGTATACCTGTCTGTCTTATTTCTAGTTTTTGGTGGGTGTTTTTTGGCACATTTTCAAATGTAACTTTGTTAAATGTTAATTTTTAGCGCAATTTCCATTCTGGAGAATTGCGTTTATTAACCCGTCATTTCTGGATGGATGGATGGATGGATGGATGAATGTGTGTCCGCAGCTTTAAGTCGTATCTCCTCCTCAACGAAGCAATATCGATGACTAGTTCCAAAAGCAATTATGTTAAGCAAGTTACGAGGATGAACATAGGCCATAAAAATTCCGGGTTTCTTTCATGGATTTCCCAGAAAAGCCAAAAAATCTCGAAAAAAAGCAGTTTTTAGCCCATATCTCGGCAACCAGACCACTTAGCGACTTGAAACATGTACCAATCGATTCCTGTCATAATTTAGAACAATATTGCCGAAGAAAGTTTTCAAAAATATTCTCTCGTTTGGTCACAAATTTTAAAATTACATAAACACCTACAAACATTGTTCTTCTAGCTTGAACGCACCCCAACATTATACGTCAGAGCTATTTTTAGATAACATAAGGAAATTGCGCACAAATGTCACTAGACTTTTTTAATTAACTTGTTTTTATAAAAATTAGAAATTTTAAGTTTAATTCTACGGTTATGTACACTAAGTAACCAATTTAAATATTTTTGGGAAGAATTGAAAGAGTATTGGAAGATTAAAAATAAATGAAAATAATATTTACCGTTAAAAACGAATCCCCGCCAGCTAAAAACAAAACAAAAGTATCGTATTAAACAACAAAAGCAAGGTAGCAATTCGTTATCAATTTTAAGTATTTAAGCAACATCTGTAATAATAGTAATAAAACATATGTGAATGTAACGACATGCAATGGGGTCGCTAGGTCAGGTGTCAACGGGTGCGGCACCTAGTGGTTTCACCCGCCTCGCAACGCCTATAATGACATTTTAACAAAGGAGCAAAACAAGCGTAGATCCCATGTTGAAATGATGATCAATTTTATATTCACAATATAGGCCTTATGTCACATTAACATAATATAACAAATGTTATATTCTTAACAAAAGCCACATGACATATTTCTATTTAATCTCCATATCACATTATTGATACATTGTCATATTTCAAACAGATATCACACGACATTTTCCCGTAACCTAGATTCCATATATATATATATATATATATATATATATATATATATATATATATATATATATATATATATATATATATATATATATATATATATATATATATAAAATTTAAATATTGAAATTATTTTCAACATCACTGTCAGTCAATTTTTTTTATAAGTATAGATCCTTTTTTCTCAGTGTCAATGTCATGATGTTACTAATTTGATAATTTCGATGTAAAATATGATGATGTACTCACTTGCATTATAAGCCGTAGAGTTGTCTACAGTTGTGTTTAAGTCTGTTCTGTTTAGCTCAGCGCTTTCATTCATTGTAGAACAGCTCTATCTATAGACAAACGTTGACGCAGTTATCAATGCATTTCAATAATTGATACTTCTATAGTATAGTATAGCAAAGTTTAATATAGTATAATATGTACAAAAGGGATGAATAACATACTAGATGTAACCATGTTGGTGGGAGCAGGGAATGGATAGTTGGTTGGTTTGATAAAATAGTGGAAGTAGTAGATGGACAGCAAGAAGGGATTATGAATGGACAGACCGATGGATGGATAAATATACGAATAGGCGAACGGTCTTCCGCACAACGAAGGCTATGTGAAATCATGCTTCAAATTATATATAACTTGATTGGCTAAATAAGCTCAAATTAAACACGGATCCGCTACAAATTAAAAGAAATGTATAGTCATTTTACCATGGAAAACATTTCAGTGATATAATGCAATATGCGCGTCCAATATGCGTGTTGCAATACCGTATGGGCGTCGCCTCACGTGTTGGGCGCTCTATAAACTAAAGTAGGCACCACAGGAAAACCACAGAGCCACCCCATCCCCTCTACTAACGACTATATATATATATATATATATATATATATATATATATATATATATATATATATATATATATATATATATATATATATATATATATATATATATATATATATATATATGTATTTATGTATATGGTCTACTCAAGCTCAAGTTATCGACATTTTGTTGTCACGCCGGATGATGTACCCTGGAGCCTAGCAATGTATATACTTTCAAAAGATATTAACCGAACCGGAAAAAATCGCAATCTCATTCGATCCTGAGTCCACCCAACTCTGATGTATACCTAACTCACGTTAGGGAAAGTAAAGGCGGCTGGGCATAGTGCTAATAACACTATCTCTTCATATGCTGAGGTCACAGAAAAAAAGTGAACTCTACTTCCCTTGCCCTATAGACCGTCAGGTTTGAAAAGGGAACTTTACTTTTTACATTCAAACTAAATATATTTCGTTTTGTGTTCCCCCCCCCCACCCCAGAATATCGTCACCAGGTGCGGTCTATACTCCCTTCCCCTCTCCCCCACCTCATGACGCTGCTTTATTAGACAAGCCTTACCAATTGTTACCATTTTTAACTACAACATGAACACTAACATGTTAGCCTACACGAGATGTAAATATACACACAAACATAAAAACCGAATGAAAACAATAAATAAAAAGACGCTAAAAGAAACTCAGCATTAACATCTGCCCACTACTCTGATCGTAAATATGAATCTACGCACACAGTCTTTATTTGAAACAATGCAACAATACCACACAATTTACCTGGGCACAAAAACCGATTGTGTTGCGCCAGACTATGAATTTTAATTAGAGATCCGAATACATTAGTGTCTCACCAATAAATATTAATTAGCCCATTGCTTTTTTTTTTGTTTCCGTGATTTACAGGTAGAGGTGTGGGCTGCGCAGGTATATTACGTAACCCGGATATGTCGCTCCTGAAGGTAGAAGAATTTAACGCTTTTTATTTTTGATGCCAGCGTATTGGCTAGTATCAACCTTGAAAATATACCTTATCTTAAAGTGGAAAAACGGGTTTTCGAAAACGATACCAATCAATATATATTCTAATTTTTAAGTTAAGTCTATAATTTTCTCAAGGTAAATTGATATAAGGACTAGAATATCTATTCCAGTCAATCCTTAAAATTTAGATTTGTAATTCCTTTTTATAAAATTGATACTTGATACATTCTCCTCCTTACTGGTTTTGCAGGGTTTACCTTTATACTGCTTCAGCTGGCACCCACACCCCATACCTCTCTGTTGAACTTTACTGCAGCAATATTTAAATGGCTCTTTCTTAATGAAGGAACAAAAGTTTTTATAACGCTAAAAAGCCACATTCTTCCAATTACTTAAAACCAGCCCCACTTATAAAGTTTTTTGTTTTCCTTTCTGCTTGGAAACTTGCCTAGGGTTAGCTGTACTTCCGGTCAAATTTTATAAAACTTTCGTTTTTGTATTGTCGTTTTTTTTTTTAATTAACAAAATGAACTTTATTGCTGGCATCTTTTCTTCTGTTCAATTGTAGGTGAATGTAATTAAAATCATAGCAAATTATCTCAAGGCTTCTGATTTCAGATTGTATTTCTCGACGCATTCTATAAATGTGTAATTAAATTTTGCAGATTTCATCCAGATTATACCAATTATTTCAAGAGAAGTAAATACCAGTTTATTCCACATCGGGCTTTAATTTAAGTTAATTAAAATAGACAGGACTCTGGGTGAAGAATCTTCTGGAAGTGTAAACAAACACGGGGCAAGTTGTCTCGAGAAGTTTTGTGCTCACACGCGTCTTGTATACGTCATTCAGTCCATTACTGTGCCAGGCAGTCGATGTTTTGATACGTCATTCAGTCAATTACGGGGCCAGGCAGTCAATGTTTTGATACGTCCTTCAGTCAATTACTGTGCCAGGCAGTTGATGTTTTGATACGTCATTCAGTCAATTACTGAGCAAGCCAGTCGATGTTTTGATACGTCATTCAGTCAATTACTGTGCCAGGCAGTCAATGTTTTGATACGTCCTTCAGTCAATTAATGGGTCAGGCAGTTGATGTTTTGATACGTCATTCAGTCAATTACTGAGCAAGCCAGTCGATGTTTTGATACGTCATTCAGTCAACTACTGGGCCAGGCAGTCGATGTTTTGATACGTCATTCAGTCAATTACTGGGTCAGGCAGCCGATGTTTTGATACGTCATTCAGTCACTTACTGGGCCAGGCAGTCGAGGTTTTGATACGTCATTCAGTCAATTACTGGGTCAGGCAGTCGATGTTTTGATACGTCATTCAGTCAATTACTGGTCAGGTAGTTGATGTTTTGATACGTCAGTCAGTCAATTACTGGGCCTGGCAGTCGATGTTTTGATACGTCAGTCAGTCAATAGCTGTGTCAACGATGTTTTGATACGTCATTCAGTAAAATACTGGGCCCGGCCGTCGAGGTTGGTAAAGTCATTCGTATTGACCCTAACCCACATAGGTCTAATCCACACCAGACCCTGATCTTGATTGTGGCCCTTATCCTTCTCCTAACAGTGACCCTAATTAACATCAGACCCATACCCATTTCAGATCATAAACCACACAAGAGCATATTCGATATTATGAATCAAGACTAATACAAAAAACACTAACCAAACCTGGAGATTCTAACCTGAAAAATAGACCTTACCAATCCTAACCCACTTGGTAAACACTAATCTAGTTCAGAGATAATCAATCTACTTAAATGCCACCTTTTATTAATATTAACTGTTCCGCTGTGTGATTGTACTACTTTATAGTTAGCTGTACGTTAGATTTCGTTTCATGAAAACCTCAAATTTCGGTTCCTAAAACTCACATTTTGCTTCCTAAAACTCACATTTCGCTTCCTAAAACTCCATTTCGCTTCCTAAAACTCACATTTCGCTTCCTAAAACTCACATTTCGCTTCCTAAAACTCACATTTCGCTTCCTAAAACTCCATTTCGCTTCCTAAAACTCACTTTTCGCTTCCTAAAACTCACATTTTGCTTCCTAAAACACACAGTTCGCTTCCTAAAACTCACATTTCGCTTCCTAAAACTGACATTTCGCTTCCTAAAACACACAGTTCGCTTCCTAAAAATCACATTTCGCTTCCTAAAACTCACATTTCGCTTCCTAAAACTCATAGTTCGCTTCCTAAAACTCACATTTCGCTTCCTAAAACTCACATTTCGCTTCCTAAAACTCACATTTCGCTTCTTAAAACTCACATTTCGACTCCTAAAACTCACATTTCGCTTCCTCACCACTCACAACCTGAGCACAGTACAAAAATAAATGCATGTCGGATTAATTATCAATCTAAATAGGCTTCTGGGCAAAGTCGAAGAAAGTGTAATCTTATAAAGGTCATCGGAGACCCGGAGCCCCGTTATTGATCATTGGTGGTTTAACGAGTTGAACTAAGGTGTTAAATGGTGTGGGGGTGAGAGAAAGTGTCAGAGAATTCAAATAACATGTACTGTGTTAACAGTCAGCTGCTCCGTGTGTGTGTGTGGGGGGGGGGGGGGGGGGGGGTTTCTGACCAGGATCTTTCGAGACCATTGTATCTAGACATGTAAAGTGTTATTTTACATGTGTTATCAGGATCTCTCTCTCTCTCTCTCTCTCTCTCTCTCTGAAAAACCTTTCTGTTAAAGACCATTACCTGTGTGTTTAGTAATCATCATAAACCCGGCATT